GGGAGACCTATTTTAAGATTATTGCCTAGCTTCAGGTAGAAAAGTACTTAAGACAAATGTAATGGTTAAAGGTTCAACATCACTAGTCAAAGACTAAGAATCAAAAATTACACCAATTACACTAATTGGGATGCCAATGTTTTTGCTTAACAAATTATCAAAGACTAAAGAAATTATTTTTCTAAGAAATGGCCTTATAGCATATTGACAATGATAGTAATTCTGCTCATCACTATATTCCCTCATCTTGGCATTAAAAAAAAAAAGACAATATTAGTTTCATGAATGAAAAATTAGAACGTTTAATGCTGGCAATAATTCCAGTAGAAACGGCACTTTCATCCACTGCTGATGGGGCAACAGACACTAAATACAACATGGCTCAGATATTATACTTGGTGCTAAAGATACAAATGTGGAACCAAAAGATATAATCTTCATGGCCACTTAGCTCTAGTATATTTGGAAATATGAACAAGTTAAAGGAAAGTATAGTATAATATAGGGTAGTTCTTCGTTGTGATGTGGTTGCTATAAGGGAACAAAACCAAACCAACAAGGAAATCCAGTCCTAAGGGGTCAAGAATGGCTTGCCCCCTGTAGACGCTGAAGTAGAGAAAAAGTAGGAGCTGGTGACTGATGCTGAAGGGCTGAAGAGAGCAGGGTATGGAGCAGACAGGGCCACCCGTGCCAAGACGGGTTAGAGAGAAATGACTCCCACCAAAGACAGAAGTAAGTTCCACGGTTACAGCGTGGCTGGGCCTGGTCAAAAAGGGCTTCAAGATACTCACTGAAGAATTTTTGGTAATTGGACATTTATAAACAGCCTGAATTTCTAAAAAGAAAAACTTCAATATAGTAATGTAGGCTAAAACATGTTACAGTTGTTAAAATGAATATTTGTGAAGAATTTCAATGACATAAGGAAACATTTAGGTTTTAATAATAAACATTAAAAGCTACTAAATAGTATATATGAGAATCTCACAATTAAAAAAACTTTTAAATGTACAAATATGGGGCTGGCCAGTTAGCCCAGTTGGTTAGAGGGTAGCCTTATAACACCAAGGTCACGGGTTCAGATCCCCGTACCAGCCAGCCTCCTAAATAAATATAAATAAAATTTTAAAATATACAACTATCTGAGTAGTAAAGAAAACAAATGTTAACAGTGGTTGGCTTTGGGTGGTATGGTAAAGATGGTTTATTTTTCTTCTGCTTTCCTCTATTTTCTGTTTTTTTGCCAATCAGGCATTATCTCCCATTATTTTTTTCAATTTTAAAAATTATATTAAAAAAAGAAAGAAAAGATAAAAACCAAAACATTCCTAAAGAATATAGACTTTTTCCTGAAGAACTAATAAAATGTAAAAAGGTATATAGATACACAATTCACAGTGTCTGCTTACACCTTCAACAATAAACATAAAATGCTAATTGTACATTCAAGTTGGGAGCCGAGGAGTCTGTAGTGTCTCTGATAAATTGGGAAAAATTATTAAATGAGAATTTGGCACATGGCTCAGACCACTTCATGGCTGTTTGGACCTCATTTGTAAAAGATACTGGAAAGTTTCACATTGGATTATAGGATAGAATTTACTGTCTTACATAAGCCTGCTGGAGGCAGATTTGAAAAAGAAGACAAATTGGTCTCTTTTCCCCACTATGTTTCTGAGGGAAAAAAAAAAAAAAAAAAAAAGGTCAAACTTTTGAAAGGAAAAATATGTTCACTATTAGGAAACCGACAGTTGAAATGGGATTATCAGCTAATTTTTCCTGCTGTCAGGAGAAAAGAAAGTAGAACGAAGAAGGCTTTCCAAGGCTTTCCTGGGGTACGGGGAGTACAGAGGGGCTACACATGAGTGTCGCCCAACACACCGATTACACAATATCTTATGAACATTGAACTTGGAGGGGAGGGGCTCTGAACTGTGCAAATCTGCTATATAAACACTAATGATAATGCAGCTTATGTATACGTGTGAATCATATGTAATACCTCATTTCAACCTCCCCAGAACATTTCCATCACAGATAAATAACTTGCCCAAAGTCGTATGGCTTTTAGAAGTAGATCTGGAATTTTAATCCAAACCTGATATTCTTAGCATCTAAACTCTTCAGCTTCTCCTAACAGCAAATAGTGGGGGTAGAAATTTCTCTTTCTTCTATCTGTCTAAACACTACCTGGGTTTCAAAGACAAGCTTATCCCTGATTCTTCCCCTCTCACCTGAACAGCCAGAAAAATGACTGTAGCTCTCTCCTGGCTCATGACATGCTCTGTGGTATGTGGGAGGCAGATCTCATGTGAAGGTTTCACCTCCCCTACAGGCGAGGACCTGGAGGCGTTAATGGAGCCTCAGCCCTATCACCCTTCCCCACGGTTTCCCGTTATCTCCAGTGTCCTTGAGCACAGTAACTGATCAAGGAATGGTTGAATTCATGACCGGCTGACCGACCTCTGGCTTGACGGATTCTTAAAGATTTCCACAAAATTCACGTCTTTTCAGGGCTATCCTAAAAGCCTCAATGATGAATAAGGAAAAGAGATTCCATCTAAAAGTGAAGCTACCAACTGAAAGAAGCTTTCTGAACAGACTTCTCAATAATGTCAATAACCCCTTGTCAGAAATAAATCTTTATGTTCCTATAGTGAGTGTGAAAGTTACCGCCCCAATCACTAACTTCTTTAAAATGGTTTAGTTGATATTTGAAATAAAACTATTTTTCTGTCATTTAGGTATTTATTTTTAAATATTCTCCCTTTTTACAGTAAAAATGTTGCTTCATTCAGACCTACTCCTTTGTTCCTTTTCTACTCTTCTGGCTGGCTGGCCCAACAGAAAGCATTTGGGCATCCTGAACAACACCTTCCAGGAAGAGTCTGTTTTCTGTCAAAGTCAGTTGCCTTTTATATGGTGTTACTCACAACGGCTGGTGAGGGGACATGGATGCTTGCGACAGACCGTGGGCGGATGTGGTTGACCAGATGGCAGAGGACGACGCCGTCCATGAGCGCCGCCCCCAGGTCTTCGTGGAGACTGACCTTCAGTCTCATCTCGATGCTCTGTCGGGAAATCAGAAGGAAGCCAGTTGCTATCGATGTTAATCACACGGAGGCAACTGAGGGTCAAATACAATTATGGGTATTTATGAACCGAGGCACTGACCTCATTATGGAGGATAAAGATAGGGATGCCCGGAAAACACTGGTATTATGTAAATCTTTTCAAACTTTATCGAAGTTGCTCTCCAGTAGGGAAAGAGGGGCTACCACCTGTGACTGCCAGATGACTGCAGACGTCCAGCTTTCTCACTTGGTCTCGGTTGGCCAGGAGGAGGGGGTGAGGGTAGGTGGCTTCTTACTGCTGGGTGGGAGTGGAAATCCAGCCTCCCCAGTGGTGCCCACTGACACTGTGGGAGCACACAGGGCTCCTCAGCTGGCGATGGGGATGAAAGTTCTGGCTCCTGACACAGCCTTCTCTGATGTCACCCCAGTGAGGGCCGAAGCCTAGCCTCCTGACTTGGCCTTCGCTGGTGTGGGTGAGGGCGGGACCAGTTTTATTTCTGGGGTATTCAGTTAGAGTAGAGGGTCTATTCTCTGAAATCTTTCTATCTTGCACGGCTGCCCCTTTCCTGGTGATGTGGCCAGAGAAAGCAGGTTTTTGTCAGGGCTTTTAAAATCTGTGCCATTAGAGTTTCCAGGTTTCCAGCTAGTTCAGCTCCCAGTCAGATATATGAGATAAAAAGAAAATCCAGGGCCGGCCCCGTGGCGCACTCGGGAGAGTGCAGCGCTTGGGAGCGCAGCGGCGAGCGCTGCGGGTTCGGATCCTATATAGGGATGGCTGGTGTGCTCACTGGCTGAGCGCGGTGCGGGTG